AGACGTTACATTTAGATATATTTAACCTCTGAGTAACCGAGGTTTATCTTGATTTGCATTCTTCCTAAGGACCAGGGGAAGCTGTGAATAGCAATTTTATGAGAATTGTATTTCACTCTTTTATATATGCAAGCTTTGAAACATTTCACAATTTTCACCCAGTTGTTGCATAAAAATGACATACCATTGCAGAGTTCCCCCACTCTTCTCACACGTGTAGAATATCTATCTCAATTCTGCTAATAAAGTAACCTTCCGTAAAGCTGTTCTAAGTTCTGTACTATGTCTTCAAGTGTAGCTTTCTTAGATTTTGTTCACACCATGGTGTTAGAAAATGCACTGCGTTTACCTCAATGAGCATAAAGTATTCATAGCATTTAAAATGTAAAAATGTGATCCAACAAATGACTTGATTTGTATGTGTAAATCAAACCTTGGTGGTACCCCTGAGGAATTTGGAGAAGACAACAGATGTTCATAGTCTGTCTCACCCAATCATCCAGATGGAATTTACAGCCATTAAACTTGGAAATGTTTATTATAATTGTATACAGGTAGTTGTAGTTGGCAAACATGTATAATGTTTTTTTTATAAAAAAAGTCTAGCTTTATTTATCTTTGACACTAAAATGCGGTATATATTGTTTCATTTGCAACAGTCTTACGCCAACCATACACTGAGCAATGTCCCTGTCAACACTCTCCTATCAGATATCCTTTAATTGAAAAATCAAGAGAGCCAAATAGAAAATTGTCAGCCAAAGAGGCTGCATCCAATTGCATGCAGCTCCTATTCAGAAATTTTGATAGCCACCAGTGCGGCCAGCAGAATTATAGCACTGTACATTCTTTTATCTGCATTGTACAGTGTGGATGAAGGGATCTGTTATATTTTTTTTTCTTCTCCGTTCAGCCCGCAATATATCAGTGTATGACCAACTTTATTGAGATCTTGATAAAGTGACAGGAGAACTGGAAAAGGTGATTATATACTTCTTTTAATACTATGTTTGGTCTAACTGTGCTTTTGGTCCCAATCCGGACACTGAAGATCAACTTGATGGATTTCAACTGTGGTTCACACCTTATCCGGAATACAACTCCCATTATCACATCACCTCATAAACAAAAGACTCCAATAGTGCGTAAACTTTAAACATTTAAGATCCAAATAAAACACAAAACGCGCACTCACATGTATAAGGTGCCCAACTGCACCAAGTATAATTTAGCCTCTGATATAAATTGCTCCTCAATCTGGAGAAACTGTGCCATATTGCTCACCGGCTCTATGTTGCAATGTGTCCTCAGTTCAAGTCGTATGATCCAAACACATTCCCCTTGAGAAAGTCACATGACGAGTGAGAAAACGCGTAGGGTAGGAGCTTTGGATGACGTCACAATGCAACACAGAGCCGATGAGCTTTACGGCGATAGCGGTGTACACTGATCTGCACACAGTAATACTGGAGGACACATTGCAACATAGAGCCAGTGAGCAATACAGCACCTGCAGTGTAAATTGATCCGTTATATGGCAATACGGTTAATATCGGATGACACACTACTTAAGCCTTGTTACTGCTGATGCCTCACAGCACAGTTTCTCCAGATTGCGGAGCAATTTATATCAGAGGCTTATTATACTTGGTGCGGTTTGGCACCTTATACAGTTGTGTTCAAAATAATAGCAGACATCACTAACCTGATCAATCACTGTTTTTGGTAGAAATGATATTTCTACATGGCAAATAATTGACTAGCAGGTGTAGTAGAGGAATAGAAATCCAACAGACCCAACAGTCATGACATGCATGCTGCTGATTCTGTGTAATTGAATCACTAATTGAAAGGGTAATGTTCAAAATAATAGCAGTGTGGAGTTCTATTAGTGAGGTCATTCATTCTTTAAAAACAGGTGGCAGTTATTGCCTTATTTAAGGAAGGAAGGCAGCAAATGTTGTACATACTGGTTACAGTGCATTTCTCTCTGAAATTCTGAGGAAAATGGGTCATTCCAGACATTGTTCAGAAGAACAGCGTACCTTGATTAAAAAGTTTATTGGAGAGGGGAAAACATATAAAGAAGTGCAGGAAATCATAGGCTGCTCAGCTAAAATGATTGCAAATGCTTTAAAATGGCAACCAAAACCTGAAAGACGTGGAAGTGAAAAAACTACCATTCGAATGGATAGAATAGCCAAATTGCAAGGACTCAGCCAACAATCAGCTCCAGGAAGATCAAAGAAGGTCTAAAGTTACCTGTGAGTACTGTTACAATTAGAAGACGCCTATGTGAAGCCAAGCTATCTGCAAGAAGCCCCCGCAAAGTCCCACTGTAGAAAAAAAAAGACGTGCTGAAGAGGTTACAATTTGTCAAAGAGCACATTGACTGGTCTAAAGAGAAATGGCACAACATTTTGTGGACTGATGAAAGTAAGATTGTTCTTTTTGGGTCTAGTGGGCGGAGACAGTTTGTCAGACGACCCCCAAACACTGAATTCAAGCCACAGTACACTGTGAGACAGTGAAGCATGGTTGCGCAAGCATCATGATATGGGGATGTTTCTCATACTATGGTGTTGGGCCTATTTATCGCATACCAGGGATCATGGATCAGTTTGAATACATCAGAATACTTGAAGAGGTCATGCTGCCTTATGCTGAAGAGGAAATGCCCTTGAAATGGGTGTTCCAACAAGACAACGACCCCAAACACACCAGTAAACGTGCAACATCTTGGTTCCAGACCAACAAGATTGACATTATGGAGTGGCCAGCCCAATCCCCGGATCTTAATCCAATAGAAAACTTGTGGGGTGACATCAAAAATGCAGTTTCTGAGGCAAAACCAAGAAATAGAGAAGAACTGTGGAATGTAGTCCAATCATCGTGGGCTGGAATACCTGTTCACAGGTGCCAGAAGTTGGTTGACTCCATGCAACACAGATGTACAGCAGTGTTAGGAATGGACTGGCCAGCAATGGTGGGACTCACCTGCCTTTTGATCTGCAGTACCAGGGCTGGCCAGCGGGTGCTCCCAGCAATCAGAGACTCAACCTTTCAGCCAGCTAACACCTGGAACTGATGATACTGGTGTATTTAAGGGATGGCCAGACTTGCAGACTCTGCCTTGGTATTGTGTTTGTCCTGGGCCCTGTATCTGTCCTGCATCCTGTTTCTGTTCCTTTGCTGACTTCTCCTGCTCTGATCCTGGCTTGTGACCCTGACCATCCCTCTGTCTGACCCTCTGTACTACGCTGCTTGCTACCTGTTCTGATCCCTGGCTTGTGACCCGGACCATCCCTCTGCCTGACCCTCTGTACTATGCTGCTTGCTACCTGCTGAACCTGGCCTGTGACCCCGACCATTCTCCGCTTGCTCCCCCTGTACCTACCTGCCCAATTGATATTGACCCGGCCTGCCTGACGACGCTTGCTTGTATATACTGTTATCTGTGGGTGGTTTGGTTGGGTTTGTTTGCACTGTATTATGTTTAGTATTGCACTGCGTTTATGTTTGTACTGTTAGTGTTAATAAATTATATTGTTTATAACATATCTGAGGTCTGCGTTTCCCTGCTTCAGTCACACACCTCTGGTCATACCTGGGAGCCCTGACATTACACCAAGGCCAATCCTGACCAGAAGTGGCTGCACAGGGAAGCCATCTTAGCTTGTTGATGGGAAGGATGGATCTTGAGGAGGTTGAGTATTTATATCTCTGCTAGTGTTTGATGACAGGGAGTATGCTTATCAAACTCTGAAGGAGTATACCCGGGATGAATTGCTAGAATGTATACGGCTCGCTCATGTTCTAGTAGATCAGGGCACAGTGTTCTCTGAGGTGCAGCCATTGATTGAGGTTTGTGCAGAGTTTGGTTTCATCTGGTTCCCCCCCGAATGCAGGGATGAATTTTTGCCACCATTTAGTGCAGACCAGGTAGAGTCCCTGGTGTGGTTATTAGAGGATGATGTGGGTTACTTTCTGGAGCGTTATTCCACATGTTCACCACAGACACTGAGAGATTGTATAAACGCAGTGCAGTCATTGACCAGACAGGCTTTGTGTAAGCTCAGCTTTGTTCAACCCCTACTGCAGACATGGACAGATTTGTTGCACCCAGCCTCAGTCAGCTTACAAAGACCCAGTCCTGCTTCTAACTCTACTCCTGTATTCCCACCAGCTCCTCCAGTTACAGCCCAGTATACTTGGCTATCTACCGCATGTCAGTACCCTGTTTCCCACTCGCTGCACCTATCCTGCCTTTAACCCTGAAAAAAAGCCCTCTGTAGCAACTGCTCCCTCTCTCCTGTTCCATCCTCCAGTTCTTCTCTGTCTCCAGCTGCTCCATTCGTTTGCAGACCTGCGTTTACTTGCAGTGCTCCAGTAGTTAAAACCAGAAAAAAGCGAAAATTCTTTCCAACCAATACCATCCTGCCAGTATCCAAACCGGTGAGCCTGCCTTCCGTGGTTCAGACTGATGCCTCTACTCAGCCTGAAGCCTCTACTCGGCCTGAAGCCTCTACGCGCCTGAAGCCTCTCCTCAGCCTGAAGCCTCTCCTCGGCCTGAAGCCTCTACTCGGCCTGAAGCCTCTACTCTCGGCCTGAAGCCTGTACTCGGCCTGATGCCTCTACTCTCTACGCGGCCTGAAGCCTGAAGCCTACGCGGCCTGAAGCCTCTCCTCAGCCTGAAGCCTCTACGCGGCCTGAAGCCTCTACTACTCGGCCTGATGCCTCTCTTCAGCCTGAAGCCTCTACTCGGCCTGATGCCTCTACTCGGCCTGATGCCTCTACTCGGCCTGATGCCTCTACTCGGCCTCCTCTACTCGGCCTGAAGCCTCTACTCGGCCTAATGCCTCTACCCAGCATGATGAACTGATCCAGCCTGACGATCCTATTAGGCCAGTTGACTCGATGCCCGCTGTTGATCCAGATGATCCGGTACCTGATCCGGTGCCCGCTGTCGTGCCAATTGACTCAGAGCCCGCTGTCGTACTGGTGACTCGGTGCCCACTGCCTTGCCAGATGACGCGGTGCCCCGCTGGCAAGCCAAATGACCTGATGCCTGGTGACCTAGTGTCCGCTGTCATACCTGATGACCCGATGCCCGCTGTCGAGCCAGACAATCCGGTACCTGATGACCCGGTGCCCACTGTCGTGCCTGTTGACTCGGAGACCACTGCCTTGCCAGATGACGCGGTGCCCGCTGTCGAGCCAAATGACCTGATGCCTGGTGACCCGATGCCCGCTGTCCAGCCAGACGATTCAATGTCTGACCCTGTGCCCGCGGTCATACCAGTTGACTCGGAGCCCACTGCCTTGCCAGATGACGCGGTGCTCGCTGTCGAGCCAAATGACTTGATGCCTGGTGACCCGATGCCCGCTGTCCGGTCAGACGATCCAATGTCTGACCCAGTGCCCGCGGTCATACCAGTTGACTCGGAGCCCACTGCCTTGCCAGATGACGCGGTGCCCCCGCTGTCGAGCCAAATGACCTGATGCCTGGTGACCCGATGCCCGCTGTCCAGCCAGACATCCAATGTCTGACCCAGTGCCTGCGGTCATACCAGTTGACTCGGAGCCCACTGTCGTGCCTGGTGACTCGGTGCCCGCCAAATCCGCCTGGGGGCCCTGAGACCTGTTGCTCCGCTTGGGGGTCCAGCGCCCGCCGCTCCGCCTGGGGATCCGGCGCCTGCCGCCCCGCCTGGGGGCCTGAGACCTGTCGCTCCCCGCCTGAGGGCCCGAGCCCTGTCGCTCCGCCTGAGGGCCCGAGACCTGTCCGCTCCGCCAGGGGGGTCCGGCACCTGCCGCTCCGCTTGAGGGCCCGAGACCTGTCGTCGCTCCTCCTGGGGGTCCGGCGACGCCCGCCGCTCCGCCTGAGGGCCCGAGACATGTCGTCCCCACTGGGGGTCCGGCGCCCGCCGCTCCGCCTGAGGGCCCGAGACCTGTCGCTCCACCTGGGGGTCCGGTTCCGCCCCACGCCGCTCCGCCTGAGGGCCCGAGACCTGTCGCTCCACCTGGGGGGTCCGGCGCCCGCCACTCCGCCTGAGGGCCCGAGACCTGTCGCTCCCCTGGGGGTCCGGCGCCCGCCGCTCCGCCTGAGGGCCCGAGACCTGTCGCTCCACCTGGGGGGTCCGGCGCCCGCCGCTCGCTCCGCCTGAGGGCCCGAGACCTGTCGCTCTCCTGGGGGTCCGGCGCCCGCCGCTCCGCCTGAGGGCCCGAGACCTGTCGCTCCGCCTGGGGGTCCGGCGCCCGCCGCTCTCCGCCTGAGGGCCCGAGACTGTCGCTCCGCCTGGGGGTCCGGCGCCCGCCGCTCCGCCTGAGGGCCCGAGACCTGTCGCTCCTCCTGGGGGTCCGGCGCCCGCCGCTCCGCCCTGAGGGCCCGAGACCTGTCGCTCCGCCTGGGGGTCCGGCGCCCGCCGCTCCGCCTGAGGGCCCGAGACCTGTCCGCTCCGCCTGGGGGCCCGGCGCCCGCCGCTCCGCCTGAGGGCCCGAGACCTGTCGCTCCCGCCTGGGGGTCCGGCGCCCGCCCGCTCCGCCTGGGGCCCGAGACCTGTCGCTCCGCCTGGGGTCCGGCGCCTGCCGCTCCGCCTGGGGGCACGATGCCTGTCGCCCCGCCTGGGGGCCCGATGCCTGTCGCCCCGCCTGGGGGCCCGATGCCTGTCGCCCCTCCTGGGGGCCCGGTGCCTGTCGCCCCGCCTGGGGGCCCGGTGCCTGTCGCCCCGCCCGGGGGCCCGGTGCCTGCCGCCCGCCGCCCGGGGGTGCCCGGTGCCTGCCGCTCCGCCCGGGGGCCCGGTGCCTGCCGCTCCGCCCGGGGGCCCGGTGCCTGCCGCTCCGCCCGGGGGCCCGGTGCCTGCCGCTCCGCCCGGGGGCCCGGTGCCTGCCGCTCCGCCCGGGGGCCCGTGCCTGCTGATCCGCCCGGGGGCCCGCTGCCTGCTGCTTCGCCTGGTAATCCGATGTGCCTCTGCCGGAGTCCTGCCCGATGTGCCTCTGCCCGGAATCCTGCCCGATGTGCCTCTGCCCGGAGTCCTGCCCGATGTGCCTCTGCCCGGAGTCCTGCCCGATGTGCCTCTGCCCGGAGTCCTGCCCGATGTGCCTCTGCCCGAAGTCCTGCCCGATGTGCCTCTGCCCGGTGTGCCTCTGCCCGGAGTCCTGCCCGATGTGCCTCTGCCCGGAGTCCTGCCCGATGTGCCTCTGCTCGATGTGCCTCTGCCCGGAGTCCAGCCCGGTGTGCCGCTGCCCGGAGTCCTGCCCGGTGTGCCAGTCTTTGATATCCCGCCAGTTGCCAGACCCGGGCGGTGGAACATTTTGCCCAGCTAGGACTGTTTGGAGCGTCCTGAGGCCCGCTCCTTGAGGGGGGGGTACTGTTAGGAATGGACTGGCCAGCAATGGTGGGACTCACCTGCCTTTTGATCTGCAGTACCAGGGCTGGCCAGCGGGTGCTCCCAGCAATCAGAGACTCAACCTTTCAGCCAGCTAACACCTGGAACTGATGATACTGGTGTATTTAAGGGATGGCCAGACTTGCAGACTCTGCCTTGGTGTTGTGTTTGTCCTGGGCCCTGTATCTGTCCTGCATCCTGTTTCTGTTCCTTTGCTGACTTCTCCTGCTCTGATCCTGGCTTGTGACCCTGACCATCCCTCTGTCTGACCCTCTGTACTACGCTGCTTGCTACCTGTTCTGATCCCTGGCTTGTGACCCGGACCATCCCTCTGCCTGACCCTCTGTACTATGCTGCTTGCTACCTGCTGAACCTGGCCTGTGACCCCGACCATTCTCCGCTTGCTCCCCCTGTACCTACCTGCCCAATTGATATTGACCCGGCCTGCCTGACGACGCTTGCTTGTATATACTGTTATCTGTGGGTGGTTTGGTTGGGTTTGTTTGCACTGTATTATGTTTAGTATTGCACTGCGTTTATGTTTGTACTGTTAGTGTTAATAAATTATATTGTTTATAACATATCTGAGGTCTGCGTTTCCCTGCTTCAGTCACACATTTTTTTTGAACAGTCTTATATTTCATCTTTTTTTCAATTTATTTAGAGGAACAACACAATTTGATCTATTTTTCCTTCATGTTTTTGATTTGGAATAGAATGTGTAACAGTTGCAAGAAAAAGTATGTGAATCCCCTTGGGATTACGCTGGAGTTTTGCATGAATTGGGCATAAAATGTGCTTGATCTGATCGTCATCTAAGTCACAACAATAGAAGAAACACAGTCTGCTCTGAACATAATACTACACAACAAACATTAGATGTTTGCCATGGTTTAATTGCACATAACATGTAAACATTCACAGTGCAGGGAGGAAAAAGTATGTGAACCATTGGACTTAATAACTGGATTTGACCCTCCCTTTGGCAGCAATAACCTCAACCAAACATTTCCTGTAGTTGCAGATCAGACGCTGCACAACGATCTGGAGTAATTTTGGACCACTCCTCTTCACTAAAAACTGTTTCAGTGTAGCAATATTCTTGGGATGTCTGGTGTGAATCGCTCTCTTAAGGTCATGCCACAGCATTTCAATCGGGTTTGAGGTCAGGACTCTGACTGGGCCACTCGCCAGAAGGCGTATTCTGGTGCTGTTGCAGCCATTGTTTTGTTGAATTATTGTATGCTTTGGGTCATTGTCCATGTTGCATCACCCATCCTCTGCGGGGGCTTCAGTTGACGGACAGATGGTCGTACGTTTTTCCTGTCAAAATGTCTTGATAAACTCTGGAATTCATTTTTCCCCATCAATGACAACAATCCTTCCAGGGCCCTGAGGCAGCAAAGCAGCACCCAAACCATGATGCTCCCCTCCGCCCAATGTTTTTACAGTGAGGATGAGGTTTTTGATGTTGGTGTGCTGTGCCGTTTTTTCTCCCACACATGTGTTGTGTGTCTTCCCAAACAAACTCAATCTTGGTTTCATCTGTCCACAGTATAATTTGCCAGTAGTGCTTGTGGGATATCCCGGTGCTCGTTTTGCAAACTTCAAACGTTCTGCAATATTCTTGTTGGACAGCCAAATGGCTTCCTCCGTGGGTGTACCTCCCATGTACTCATTCTTGTTTAATGTTTTCCTTTTTGTAGAGTGTCAACAAAAATGTTAGCATTTGCCCGAGATTTCTGTTTTGGTCTTTAGCGACACTTGGGATTCTTCTTTACCCCAGCAGCATTCTGCGGTGCTCTTTCCTTGCATTTTTACAGGACGACCATGCCAGGGAGTTTCAACGTGCTAAACTTTCTCCCTTTGTAGACAGTCTGTCTTCCGTGGGGGCAATGAACATCAAGGGTTTTGGGAGTACTTTTGTAACCCTTTCCCCCTTCATGCAAGTCAACAATTTTTTGATCGTAGGGCTTTGAGAGCTCTTTTCTGCGAGGGATGGTTTTACATCAGACGTGCTTCTTGAAACCCGTAAACCCCAAAAAAGGGGTGGTTTTTTAAGGGCAGAACAGCTGTCGCAAAATCCAATATCATCACACGATTGGGGTCAAGGTTGGGTCCTCCTGGCTCCAATTACTCTGGGGAATCACTAAGCAGGGGGGTCACATACTTTTTCCTCCCCCCACTGTAATGTTTAATGTTATGTGCAATTAAACCATGGCAACATCTAATTTTTGTGTAGTTTAGTTTAAGACTGTGTTTTCTATTGTTGGACTTTGATGTTCAGAGCACTTTTTTTTTTCCCAATTCATGCAAAACTCCCCCGTAACCCAAGGGGTTCACTACTTTTTTTTGCAAATGTTGTGTTCCCCAAGTTTTTTGTGTTTTGGAAAAAAAATATTGAAGGATTTT